CTCAGGCAATCCACTCACCTCAGCCTCCCAAAGGCGCGGGATTACAGGCTGAGCCACCGAGCCCGGCTATACAGATATTTTAAACATCTACCTCATTGGGTGGCTGCAAGTTTCAAAGGAGAATATCTGTATAAAAATATCATTATAAAAAGGCTACACAAATGCAGGGCGTGTGTACTAATTCCAAGGATGTTTTAGAAGCAGGGAACTAGACATTCAGTAACAGTCTCAAACTAAGATCATCTCTGCTTTCTTTGCCTTCCTCCTTTTATTTCAACTAAGTAGCACACACACACAAAGAATTATGCTGCCAATGAGAGGGATACACCCAAGACTTGAAAAGAAATCTTACCAAAACATGTCCAATTGAAATGAGAAACAGCCCAGGCAGCATGAGCCTCTGACAATTTTATGGCCTAATCGTGTCACTTTACACATGCCAGACTGCAAAAGTGATTCAGGGGCCAGACATATAAAGGAGGCTGTGATTCCTCAGAAATCAAACATGTTTAGGGAATGCATAGCTCTACCCTGCCGGGCAATGGAAGGACTGCGCCACCATGCCAGCTTCACAGGGTCACGGTAAATGAATGCCCATGGAAATTTGGGGGCTGCTTGTGCATTAGAAACAGCCAGAATACCATATTTTGTAAGACCCAAGGTATCATCCATCCTCCCTACCTAAACATGTGACTTTTCTGTTATAAAGTTCACAAAGGCTATATTGTGAAGCTTGAAAGCACAGGTTCTGGAATCGTATCACTTGGGTTTAAATTCCACCTCTGCCACTAGCTGTGTGACTTTGGACAAGTTACTCAACCTCTTTAAGTCTCAGTTTCCTCATTTTTAAAATAGATATTAGGATAATAGCACCTACCTCAAGGGTTATTATGAGAGTTAAGTGTAGTAATATATGTAAAGGCAGCATGAGCCTCTGACAATTTCATGCTAGGCTAAGCATATAAGTCCACAATGATGTAAGCTTGCATTATGTTTTTTGGTAGCAGCTTTATTAAAATGTAATTCACATACTTTCATCGTTTTTAAGCCTACATGATTTTTAATATGTAGACTTGATTCAGGCACAGAATTATGCCAAACTTTTCCAATTAATCTAGTCTTTCATCAGGGACTTCATCTAAAAAAAGAAAAGAAGTCAACAACATATAATGACTGAACCGCCAGACATAAAATTTCCAAGGATATTAAATACCAGTAATTAATGTGTTTGCTCAGACCAGTTTAAATAAAGATGAACCCTATTCATTCCTGTTTGAGTTTGAAGGCCTAGAGTTGCTGGTTATTTAATTTCTTTTGATTTTATTAGGCACACGTTCCTGTTACTCATCCTCTTTCTCATTCCTGGAATTGTGATGATGGTGGCATATGGATTAATCTCTTTGGAACTCTACCAAGGAATAAAATTTGAGGCTAGCCAGAAGAAATCTGCTAAAGGTAACTATCTTTTAGCTATGTGTTTATGCCAAAATAGCATGTGTTTGTTTTCTATAACTTAAGCAGATCTCCCTGGAGTGTAATATAAAGTATTTTGGAGATTTTTAAAAGTATTCTTAGGAGAGTCTGTGTCACAAGGCACACAGTCATGAGTCCCAGTCTCTCTATTTCCTAATCTGTAAAGTGGGAAAATAATTCCTTTCAAGGGTGTTCTCAGTGGAATAAAATAATATTCACATAACCTGATTATAAACTGAGGGTCCAGGCTTTCTATAGTGTTGCTTTCAAATGTACAGCCCTCAGAATCAAAACTACTTGTAATTCCAGTCTGTTCTGTGTCTCCCCAAAGACATTGGAAGATACTGAATTTGCAACCTACACCCCTCACCACCCCTGCTGTTTTTTTTGGAGTCAGAGTCTCACTCTGTCTGTCACCCAAGCTGGAGTGCAGTGGTACAATTACGGCTCACCACCACTTCAAACTCTAGGGATCAATTGATTCTCCTGCCTCGGTCTCCCGAATAACTGTTATCTACAGGCACACACCACCCTGTTTGGTTCGTGGTTTTTTTGGGGTGGTTGTTGTAGAGATGAAGTCTCACTGTGTTGCCCAGGCTGGTCTCAAACTCCTGGGTTCAAGCAATCCTCTCGCCTCAGCCTCCCAAAGTGCTGGAATTACAGGCATGAGCCACCACGCCACACCACAAACCTCCTTTTCCCCATTCACTCTCCTCCCTGCCACACTACAGTTGCCACAAAGCCTCCCTCCTTCCCCATCATGACAATCCACTATCCATTAAAACTGACCCCAACACCTTTGTTAGCAAAACTTTTTCCTTCTCACTCCACCCCCTCACTCAGCTCTTTCCTATGTAGGTAACTAAGTCTCTCTGGCTTCTTTGGTTTTGGTGAGGTGCTTTTGTCCCCTCAGTATCCAGATTCCTCACAACAAAAGCAGTCTAGAATCTTACCAAGCAAGCAGGAACCTTCTCCCTGGGGAGCTAAGGAAAGAAGAGTGTGAACATTCTTTTTTAGTTTTTCCCTGTAATCTGCATGCATAAAATATTTTATTACTGATTACAGTATATATTATTTTATTAGTTTGGGGGGATGTTTTGTTTTAGAGACAAGGTCTCACTCTATCACCTAGGCTGAGTACAGTGGTGCCATCATAGCTCACTGCAGCCTCAAACTCCTAGACTCAGGTGATCCTCCGGCCTCAGCCTCCCAGGTAGCTGAGATTACCGTTAATGCCACCACATCTGGCTAATTATTTCGTTTCTTGTAGAGATGAGGGTCTCGCTACGTCGCCTGGGCTGGTCTGGAACTCCTGGCCTCAAGCGATCTTCCCTCCTCAGCCTTTCAAAGTGCTCGGATTACAGGCGTGAGCCGCTGTGCCCCGCCTATTATATTTGTTTCACGCAGGTTTCCCCCCAAGGAAAGAACTAGAACAGATGCATATCTGCCCATACCACTGGAGGAGGCTGAGATGGCCTGCCCAGATCTCGCGTTCGAGTTGGGGGGTGGGTCTTCTGGACGGGCGGGGGCCTCCGCGCCTTCCCTCCGGGACCCAGGCCCCACCACGAGCGCCGTCTTTCTCCCGCCCAGAAAGGAAGCCGGGCGGCGGCGGCGGCGGCGGCGGCGGCAGATACGAGGACGGCGATGGCTGCTACCTGCAGCAGTCCCAGCACCCGAGGAGGCTGGAGCTCCGGCGGCTGTCCGCCGGCAGCGTGGGCAGGGTCAGCCGCGTCCGGAGCAGCAGCTCGGCGGCCAGCCTGATGGCCAAGAAGCGCGTGATCCGCATGCTCATGGTCATCGTGGTCCTCTTCTTCCTGTGCTGGATGCCCATCTTCAGCGCCAACGCCTGGCGGGCCTACGACACCGCCTCCGCCGAGCGCCGCCTCTCGGGGACCCCCATTTCCTTCATCCTCCTCCTCTCCTACACCTCCTCCTGCGTCAACCCCATCATCTACTGCTTCATGAACAGACGGTTCCGCCGCGGCTTCATGGCCACCTTCCCCTGCTGCCCCAGCCCTGGGCCCCCGGGGGCGAGGGGGGACGTGGGGGAGGAGGAGGAGGGCCGGACCACCGGGGCCTCGCTGTCCAGGGGCTCGTACAGCCACGTGAGTGCCTCGGGGCCGCCCCCCTGAGCTGCAGGGCGGAGGGGCTGGGGGGGCGGAGGCCGAGGAGGAGGAAGGCTCCGTGCCCGGTGGGGTGCCCCGTCATCTGCTTCCGTCCCCATCGGATTCGGGAGAGGAAGCGCCGCTTGGGGTGGGGCCGTGGCTTGGTTACCTGGCAGTTCAAAGCAGGAGATGCCCGGTCACATTCACCGTCAGAAAAACCTCAGCAGGCCCACGACGGGAGTCCGGCAGAGCTCAGGCTGCACACGGAAGTGCCAAGACGTGTTCCAGACGGAGATGGGGGCCCTGCTGAGCTCTAGAAGGTTCTAGAACGTCCCAGGTGGGCTCTCGCGCCTCATAGTGACACACGTCTGGGCTCTGCTTTTTCTGCTCGTGCAGAACTGTAGAGGCTGCTTTGCCCGAGAGGTGTCCGTCGCTCGTTCGTGCATACACTGTAGCCAGGCCCCCTCACTGGGACCACAAAGCAAACGGAAAGCAAACCCTTCCTGGCCATTTTCTGGGGTTAGAGCACAACCTGCTTTCTTCATTGGTAGAGGTTGGTCAGGGACATTCAGAGACAAGCTTATGTCGTCATCAGAATAGCAAGAGAAACGACTGAAAGATGAAATATGGAACTTGATATTTCTAAAAAGAAACGAGTGCAAGCGTGGCTGGAGGGGATGCCATCTTACTGTGAGGAATATTAAATGGCAGAAGGTTCATGGGAATTTTTATTTTAATGATATATGTTGCCTAATTTCTTCTTCATGTGGTAATATTAAGACTCATGACTCCTTTGCCTCACCTTAATTTTTCATATTCATCTGCTTTCCACAAAGGAAGAAAGGTGCAAGGAGAGTTGTACGTTACGTATACCCGACCAAAGGTGAAACATATAATCAGGCTCAGAATGAAAACTGGCATCCTTGGACTCAGCTAACAAATGGCTTTTGAATATCAAAGCGGTCTGTGCTTTTAAATACAATCTAGGTACTTGCTAATAGTTGGTTAATTCTATGTACATGTATACACCAAACATATAATTATGTTCTTTACATATAATTATACTCTTTGGTGAGTTAAAAAAAAAAAAAAAGAATAGTTAACTGTTGGAATTCAGCAATTGTTATAGGTAGACATTTCTTCACAACAATTCAAGTTTCATGTGACATTCATTTATTTGCAAAATTAGTGTTGAAATCTCTTTCCTCTAATTTAGAAATCTCAAATCAGGCATGAGCTGTACATTCAAATACCAGGAAGGGCATTTCTAGAATGGTCCAGTCTACTGGCACTTCTTTTTTTTTTTTTAAGAGTATCATTGCCCTGTCTGCTTGAATAAATTAACATGGACTTTTTTTTTTTTTTTTTGAGTCGGAGTCTCACTCTGTCGCCCAGGCTGGAGTGCAGGGGCATGCTCACAGTCACCACAGCCTCCTTCCATCTCAGCCTTCCAAGTAGTTGAGACTACAGGTGTGTGCCACCACACCCAGCTAATTTTTTGACTTATTGTAGAGAGGTCTTGCTAAGTTGCCCAGACTGGTCTCGAACTCCTGAGCTCAGGCAATTCTCTAGGCTTGGCCTCTCAAAGTGCTGAGATTACAGGTGTGAGCCACCATGCCTGTCAAAATGGACCTTTTTTACAGACGCAAGTTCACATGCTAGTATGGGAAGAACAAAAACCAAAAAGCACAAAGTTCATAGCTTCCTGCTTCAAAGCATCTGAGAAGAAGCGCACTTTTCTTCTCCTTTTCATGGGCCCATGGCACCCAGTGACCCGAGCCTGACATTCTGCACGGCACACAAGAGTCAGGGATTTCAGTTGTCCAAAAAAAAACCATGTGGGAAGGGGGAAAGGGGAAGAGAGTGGGAAAACATGATGATGAACAGCATAACAGATGTAGAATTAGACAAGATGTGAGCATTGCATTTGTTGTTTATGAGGGGAAAACGTCGGAGAATAAATAATTGAGGACATGACAATGATAGGGACTTTCCAAGCCAGACTGTTCCTCAGACCGCAGTCTGATTTTACTAGCTATTGCCCGCCATCTCAGTCAAAGATTTCAAGGTAAAACTTCAACCGATCCAAACAACCACTGCTAAAATAGTAGCGATAAGTGTAAGAAATTAAAATGTCTCTGATATTTGAGTAAGTCCTACATTATCAAGTTTTCCTGCCAGAGAGTAAGTCTACTCTGACAGTGTTTTCATATGCATGAAAATAAATTATTGGGAACCTCTGGAAGTTCCAGATGTGTGTTAACCCAAAAATAAGCTTCCCAGATTTGGCTAATAAACATACGGATGCTAGCTAAATTCTAATTTCAGATAAGCAATGATAGTTTTTAGTGTGGCTATGTCCCATGCACTAAAATACATCCTGTATTTTACCTGGCAACCCTTCGTTAAAATATTTTAAAAGCACATATAAATCTAAACAAAATTTCCCAGATGTGGAGCAAAAAAATGCTCTTATTCACTTATTAAAAGGTTTTCCACATATGGAAGTTTGTTTTACAAAGAAGAAAAAAAGTATTAACTTTTCTAATCCGTGCCTGACTTTTGGGAAGTTCTGATTTTACTTTTTAAAATTTTTTAAAAATATAATGTTATTCTAGCACTTTATTGAGTTAGCTGTCTTTAGATTACTAAGGTAGATGACTCATTTGAATTTGCAAAAAAAAATGGCTAGTGGAGTTAAGAAAGCAAATTTATCCATTTTCCAGTATTTTCTAGTGCCTTCTGGTTGCTTCCACTTATCACCAGGGTGTCCAGTTAGAATCTGAGCACTGATATGGAGAGTTCCATCTTCGCTCTTTCCTTGGGCTGCGTATCTCAGTGGCTTCTTACGCCCAGTTGCTGTGGCCATCATGCATAATAAACGTGTCATGGTAAATGTGCATGTGTATATTCTATGGTTTGGTTACCCACGTTCCATATGCTTTACACGTGTCCCCTCTGTAACCGTCATGAGGCTGATGACAGCTGCTGCACCTCCAGGGTGTTTCCCTCTTGTGTTTTGCCCTGTACTCTGCACTCCGTGTGTTCAATAAACATTGTGACTACTTCAGTTGTGCCTTCTGTGCTTATGGCGCCCTTTCTGACAACTGGGCAGGGAAGGCATGTTCCAGGCCTGGGGCCGGGTGGGGGGGGCACAGAATTTCTGAACTTTTCCCAAATCTGTATCCCCACTCAGCATACTGATGTGTGAGCATTTTCTGTGATCTCTCCTGCCCCTTTTCTCTCCTCCTTGGTGTGTATGTGTGGGGGAAAAGCTGAATGTCACCCAAGATGTCACCAGTGGAGGAGGGGGGGTTAGGAACCATTGGTCCACCCTTCAGCTTCACTCCCCCTGCCCTCATTCCCTTTAAGGACAGTGAAAACCCTTTACCACATACCTCATCCTTGCTAAAGTACCCAGCTCACTCATCAACGCTGATAAATGTTATCAAAGCCACATGTCTCCCTTGACTGCTCCCCCTCTCCCATCCACCTGCTCTCCTGAAGGGCCCCTGGGAACCTCTGGGCATCTTTCTGGGCCTTCCAGAACCCATGCTACATCTGCTGACTCCCTGTAGCTAGCTCTCACTCTAAATGTGGTGCTTCCCTCCCTCTGACCCTGGGAGGGAAGGTTTCTGACTTCTCTGGCTTTCTGGCTGCCCTCAAGGGGAACACCACCTCTTGGTTTCCTAACCTGCTTTCACAGCCCAGGGCCAGTCTTGAAACTGCATGCCCTATCCTAGGTCTTGGAAGCTGAGCCTGGGTGGAATGTCAGATCCTGTTTGTTTGTTTGCTTGTTTGTTTTAGAGACAGGGCCTCGCTCTGTCACCCGGGCTGGAGTATAGTGGCACAATCATAACCCAGTGCCACCTTGAACGCCTAGGCTCAAACAATCTTCCTGCCTCAGTCTCCTGAGTACCTGGAACATACTCAGGTATGTGTCAACACACCCAGCTAAATTTTTATTTTTTGTAGTGACGGGGTCTTGCCATATTGCCCAGGCTGGTCTTGAACTCCTGGAGTCAAGCAATGCTCCTGCCTCTGTTTCCCAAAGTGCTGGGATTACAGGTGTTAACCACCACGCCCAGTCAGATTTTCCTTCTTGCCCAGGAAGAGAGGTCAGACAAGTATAAATTAGCCCCTAGTATTGTTCATAAAACATAGCTGGTGTTCAATAAACACTCCAGGGAATTAATAGATGAGTAAATGAATGGATGAATTTGAATGGCATTGTTTCTTGATGCCAGACCTTTCCTGGCCACTTTGAGGAGGGCATGCCTTCCCAACGAGGGGTTGCCTGTGCACAGTGTGCCGTAGCTCTTAATAAAGGATGTAGTCAGCTGGGCTCGGGGGCTCAGGCTATATTCCCAGCATTTTGGGAGTCCAAGGTGAGTGGATTGCCTGAGCCCGTGGGTTTGAGACCCACCCGGGCAACTTGGTGAGACCTCGTCTCTACAATAAATCTAGCCGGGTGTGGTAGTACACCTGGCTGGCTTCCTGTAGTTCCAGCTACTTGGAAGGCTGAGGCGGAAGGATTGCCAGAGCCCAGCAGGTCGAGGCTACGGTGGCCAGGAGTGTGCCACTGCCCTTCAGCCTGGGCAACGGAGTGAGACTCCAACTCAAAAAAAATAAAAAATAAAAAAAGGATGTAGTCGACTGGACAGTTGCATTCTGCTTCCATTCTGTCCAGCAAATTTCACTTTTTTGTTCACTGACCACAGAAGCCACTCCTGTGGGTGCAGAGAATATACTCTGGAGTGGAAGCCCAGAAGTCTGTGTCCCAGTCTCAGTGGCTGCTGCTAACTTGCTGCATGGTTTGGGCAAGTCACGTCCCTCTCTGGGTATCACTTTCCTCTTGTGCGTAATGAGGGAAGAAGGGCCATCCTCCATCTCTGATACTGTGTGACTCGGTGGGTCAGAATTGACTATTCTTTTACTATCCCACAACACACCCTCCCTTAATTTTGTTGGTCTCCCATTGACTTCACAATCACAGAAGTTCTTTGTCATCCAGACAATAGCCACGTCTAATGAAGGCTGCGAGAATGAGGGGAAAAGGGAAAAAAGGGTCCAGAGCAGAGTCTCCAAGCTCCCAGCCCCTTCTAGGTGACAGCTCCCCAGAGCGACATGTGGAGTCTCATCCCTAGGACACCAACCCATTCCAAGTAAAACGTCCTAAAAATCTACTCCGAAACCAAATGTGACCTAGGATTGAGAGGGGTACCAACATGTGTTAAAACCTGTTCTATATCGGCACTGTGTGCGTCACTGGTGACAGCAGTTGACAATGAAATCTGCAGGAGGGATGGATGAATGTCTCCGACAGGTGGTTGCTTATTTCATTCTCCAGACAACAAGTGTGAGGCATCATTTTGCACATTTCACAGGTGAAGAGGGGGTGGCACTATGTCCAAGGTCAGACAGCCAGTAGACAGAGGCAGGAGTGAGCCCATTCTCATCCCCCCCCCCCACCTAATGACATTGGGATTAGGTGGCATGCAGTAATCTAAGTAAACACTAGCTGCCCATTTCGTTTCCTGTAATGCTTTACAGTTCGTGGGCCTTGTGCTAACAGCTCTAAGGAGGAGAAATCCCTGTCTTTGCCCCCTCCTCCTCCCACCCCTGTGGACATTTGGTCCTCCCTCTGAGCTCCCTGAACGTGGAGGATTTGAGAGCTGGATTTTTACACTTGCATTCTGGATGCTTCCGTTGATATGTTTATTTTTAGAAGGAAGATAATGCACTTTGCCACCTCACGAAAGCCAAAAGATGGTATCAGTAAACGAGCTTTCACCTCTTTGGCAAATTACCAGCAAACTAAGGTAGGTCTGTTTTCTAATGATCAGGAAGGAGACCAACACAGGCCCAGTGACTCATCAGCCTGCAGTGTAAAACTTCCTGGTTTTCCTTTCTCTTGTCACTTTTTTATTAAGTCCCCCTTCTCTAGTGAAATGTCATGTTATTGTTACCCAGAGGGCATCACTAGGACATTGGGAATCCCCCACAACCTCAAACCCACCATGTCTGCAATGGCGCTAACTGTCATATGCCAAGCCACTTCTCTTCCTGATTCTCTCTGGCTGTGAATGGGATTCCCGCTCTCCCAGATTACCCAATTCAAAATCTGACTCATCTTTTGAAAGATGGTATCAGTGAAGAACTTGGTCTTTAGAGTCAAAAAGACTTGAATTCATATCTCAGGCACCACAAGCTATAGATAGCAAGCAAATGACTCAGCTTCCAAGTCTTAAATTCCACATCTGTGGTACTTACCTCACAGGGTTTTGTGAGAATTTAATAAAGTTAAATAATATTTTTAAATATTAAACATATATATTTATACACACATGCGCATACACACACACACACACACACACACACACACACATATTGAGCTGGGGGTCTCACTCTGACATCCAGGCTAGAGTACAGGGGCACAATCAAGGCAGCCTCAACCTTCTGGGCTCAGGCAATCCTTCTGCCTCAGCCTCCCTAGTAGCTGGGATTACAGACACATGACATGACACCCAGCTAATATTTTGATTTTTTTGTAGAGACAAGGTCTCACTAGGTTTCCAGGCTGGTCTTGAATTCCTGAGTTCAAGCAATCCTCCCACCTTAGCCTCTCAAAGTGCTGGGATTACAGTTGTGAACCACTGTGCCTGGTCAGGATATTAATGATATTAAATGTAAAATGTCATTTAAAAGGACACTAAAGGGACTTTTCCAGACTCAGAGTTTGACTGTAGACAAGGAGTACCAAGTTGTCCAACATTACAAAGAGTGGGAATAGATACAAACCGACGACTTGTTAAGAGACAATGAAACCTGTTCAACACACATCCCTCCACTTTTCTCCTGCCCCTACAATATAAAGGAACAAGAGACAATTTCTTTGACAAGGGCTGTCAACTAAGTGGGCAATGAATTCTGTGCCATTTTCCTCTTCCCTCACTATGGGACCACAGAGAATTTCTAGAAACACTTGGGGAGGGTGGAGTTTTTGTCATAAGGGAAAACTGATATATCATCCTTCCTCCCATGGGACTTCAACTTGGGAAAATAGTTTCAAGGGAATTTGTATCTCCGGATACAGGGTTTATTTCTAGTCTCTAATATTGGGAAATGTTTAGAAAAAGCCTGACTGAGCCAAGTTTCCAAGGATGAAGAGTGTCTCAGTCAGTTCTGGCTGCTATAACAAAAATACCATAGACTGGGGGGCTTAAGCCAGCAGTCTCTCAACTTTTTGACATCAGGGACAAACTTCATGGAAAACAATTTTTCCATGGATGGGGGGGATCATCAGGTATTTGATTCTCATAAGGAATGAGCAACTTAAATCTGCCCGATGCACAGTTCATAATAGAATTTGAGCTTCAATGAGAAGCTAATCCTGCTGCTAATCTGACTGGAGGTGGAGCTCCATTTGCCCACACTCATCTCTTGCTGTGTGGCCTGGTTCCTAACAGGTCACAGACCAGTACCAGTATGCAGCCCAGAATTGGGGACCCCTGGCTTAAACAAAAGGAATTTATCCCTCACAGTTCTGAAGACTAGAAAGTCTAAGATCAGGGTACCAGTTGATTCAGTTCCTGGGGAGGACTCTCTTCCCAGCTTACAGATGGGTACCTTCTTGTTATATTCTTACATGGTGGAGAGAGGGATCATCTCTCATGTCTCTTCTTGTAAGGGCACAAGTCCCATTCATGGGTCTCCACTCTCATGACCTAACTACCTCCCAAGGTTCCACCTCCAAATACCATCACATTAAAGATGTGTGAGGGAGCCATAAACATTCAGTGCATAGAAGGGAAGCAGAGGGCCATGGCACCAATGGACCCTGTAGATATCATAGAAAGTAACCAGGCCTGGTTACCCTGGGGCAAAAAGGAAGTCAAGCGGGCTGTACCACCAGAAGAGGAATTGACTGGAAATGCATCACCTCAACCAGAAAGTTTAGTATGGAAGGTCCTCACAGAGTGCATGTACATAGGAGGGTGGGTGTCACTGGAAAACCTACAAAACTTTATGACTCAAAAGAAAGAGGGTTAGCATTTGCACATCTGCATATCGAAAGTCATTTGACCATTGAAGAAAACTCCCAAACAGCACTACTTTTGTGCCTTTACCACTTAACTCTTCGGCCATTCTCAAGAGAAAGAAATCAAGCAAGGAAGAGAGAGAGAAAGACCACCAGCTTTCCCTGCAGATGTCTTGCCTGGGACCTGCCTGATTCAGAGGAAAGGAGAGAAGCTTCACATCGGATGCAAGAGGAAAGATTTGGTTTATATTATAGTGAATACCTAAAGATGAGGTTTTAATGAAGAGATGAAAGAGACAGAAAAGAGCCAGGAAAAACTGTAAGGTACACCAGAGATATTTTTATAGAGGAGGGTAGGGCAGAATATTTTTTTTTTTTTTTTTTTTGCCACGAGGTGTTTTATTTCCAACAATCATACAAATAATTTTCTATAACATCCCAGGGCAGACCAGAGAATTTGGCAGTCCGATGGGGGGAGGGGGGTCCCCTCGGAGACCCACGGGCCGGTGGCATCGGCGCGGAGTGCCTGGGTTCACAGTGCAGCTTGTGGCTCGTGTCCATCTCGCGGGTGGCCCTCCCTCCACATCACGACTGGGGTCTCGGAGATGATGGGGGCGGGGGGGGGGTCCTCCAGGCTTAGGAAATTTCACTCCATTTCTCCTGCTCGATGGTCTCTTTGGTGGGCAGGGTGTTCTTCTCCTGCGTCTCCGTCTTCTTCAGCTTGGCCTTATCGAAGCTGGCGATTTCCCCCATGTCCGGCTTGTCTGCCATTTTCTCAAAACGATCCAAGCGTCCCGCTCCGAGCCCGGGCTCCTGGTGCTCCCACTCGCGACGCTGCAGCAAGAGACCGGGCAGAATATTTAACAGATAGGGATTGAAGACAGAGGTAGGAGAAAAAGCGATTTCTTGACTGTTACACAATTTTCAATAAACTAGTTGTTTTCCAACAGGTACTTAATGAACAACAGTCATTGTAAACAATATCTAAAACACTTATTTCAGTTATTAGCCTGGTTCAGCTGGTCTTTTTTATTTATACTGAGAACAGTCTAAATCAGAATTACCTTTCTTCCTTATAACTCAGAAAGTCGCAGTAGGTGGTCACCTGGCCTCCCCACTGCCAATTCTCTCTCTCTTCCACTTGGCCCTACTCTCCGGTATCAGACTGTTCTTACCAATACAAGGTTGGGATCACCTTGCTCCCTGCCCAGAGGCTTCCCGGTGCTTAGAGGTCCAATTTCCTTTGCCTGGTGTCAATGTTCCCGGCAATCAGGAGTCAACCTTTCTTCCCTATCAGTCAGTTTCTTCTTCTTTTCAGAACAGAATGATTTGCTGTTCCCAAGCACTTCCATGTGCCCACACCATTCTCAATTTGAGACATTCTTCTCTCTTTAGCTCTTCCTGATAAAATCCTGTCATTCTTCATGGCTCAGCTCCCTGGTTACCTACCTTATAAAATCTCCAAAATTCTCTATAAACAAAGATGTCTCTCTTTTCTGAGCTCTCACAACACTGTCTCTATATATCCTTTAGTTGTCTAACAATAGCTCATTCCCCCCACCCTACTCCTCATTGCTTGCTAATGAAACCTCCCTACATACAGGTATTGATGGTTGGTATGGCTTGAATGTGACCCCAGAATTATGTGTTAGAAGCTTATCCCCAATGCAACAGTGTTGGAGGTGAGGCCTAATGAGAAGTATCTGGGTCATGGGGGCATGAGTGAATTAATGCTGTTATTTCAGAAGTGGATTCCTAATAAAAGGACACATTTAGCCTTCCCTTGTCCTCTTTCTCTCTCACCCACTCTTTGTATTTACACCATGGGATGACACAGCAAGAAGGCCCACACCAGACATGGGCTCCTCAACCTTGGAAATCCCAGCCTCTAGAATCATGAGTCAATACATTTCTGTTTATTATAAATGACTCAGTTTATTCAGTTACAGCAGCACAAAACAGACTAAGACAATGGTATTCTGATCACAGGGGAAAAAAAAAACAAAACAGTTCCAAGGGGTAAATCCAACGGATCTATGCTGTACACACTCCCTTTTGCTAGTTACTGGTTTAGGGGTAGTTTTGTGTCCCAGTCTAGCCAGTGATGTTTAACAACATGCCCTATGGGTTTTTCAAAGAGCCTGAGTTTGTAGCAAGTTTGCTGATTTCTGTGGTATAAATACTACCACCATGGCCAGTTTCAGATCACCAATATGGCATCATCGAATGGGGTACTGGAAAAAGAAACATGCTGTAGCACACAATCTTATAGTATTTCCGTCATGAAGATACAAGTAACATAAATAACAGCAAGGGCATAGGTAATCACTAAATGTAGTAAAGTAACTAGGAAATGATTCATTTTGAGTATTTACTACTACATTTCCTGAAAGTTTAACAATTGGCTCTTACTAGTCAATATAAGCCAACTGTAACACACTACAGGTTTCAGTCAGTGAAATGTAAGAAGCCTGCTTGGAGTTTCTTGGTTTATTTGCTGGTATTGCTTTTCTTGCGCTTCAGTAACAAACAACCTTAAAATTTAGCACAGAGCATCATGTCACCTTATGCACACTCACGCACAGAATGGCAACCATGTGAAGAGACAGCAAGAAGGCAGCCCCCTGCAAGTCAATGAAAGAGCCCTCAACCAGAAACCAACCCTGCTGATACTTGAATCTTGGACTTTCAGCCTCCAGAACTGTGAGACAATAATTTTCTGTTTTTTAAGCCACCCACTAACACACCTCCCCTCCCAGAACGCTGCAAGGTTCAGAGGGCCACTCTCATTCTAAAGGCCCAGAACTAGCCCAATCTGATCAGAGAAGATGGAACCTTAATAATGCCCTTTACATGACACTAGCCAGACACCTAAGTCCTCACTCATGTTCTTAGAGCTCTTCTCCCTCAACAGCTTATGTCTTTTCCTCCTGGTCTCTAATTTCAATAACATTCCTCAAGCACAGATGCAGCAGCTGCAACAAAAACAGAGCTAGTTGGGGTAAGTAAACAAGACGGGCGGGTGAGAACACAAATGGCTAAAGAACTTTCAGCCCAGCTGAAACTCTCCAGGGGCAGAGCCAAGGGATCCTAAGACCTTTTCAGCAGGTGTTTTCTTGGATACCTTACAGGTGTAGAGTTGCCAGATAAAATACAGGATGCCACCGCAATTTGAATTTCAGGCAAGCAGTGAATAATTTCCTGGTATGTCTCATATAATGTATTTTAGTTTGCTAAATCTGTTAACCCTATCCAGGGGCTGTCGGTGGGGTAGCTGTGGGACAGTGGGGGAAGGAAGACTGAAAGATGGGAAGTCAAATATAATTGGCTACACTCACAGGCCACATGACAGGACTGAGCCCATTTGGAAGGAAGAAAAAGAGTGCCCCTGGGCAATGGGTCTCTGTCACCTTCCCAGCCCTGCGGGGCACTCATTTGGAGTCAAGTTAAAGAATCCTAGATGCATTATTTTCCTTTGGCTGTTGAAACAAATTATCACAAATGTAATGGCTGTAAAACAACACAAATCTAATATCTTACCATTCAGAAGTCTGAAACGGGTCTCACTTGGCTAAATCAAGATGTCAGGAGGACTGCATTTCTCCTGGAAATTCTAGAAGAGGATCCATTTCTTACCTTCTCCAGTTTATTGAGGCTGCCCACATTGCTTGGCTCATGGACTCTCCCTCCATCTTCAAGGCCAGCAGCGTAGTGTCTTCAAATCTTCCCCCCCACCCACCCCCG